TTTTGAACACCGTGTCCTGGCTGTAGTGGTTAAGAGACTTGGCTCTTGAGGACGAGGTCGCCGGTTCGAATCTGTGCTTGCACGGAGGAGGGCTTGGGCCCAGACGTACGGAATCCATACTACTATCCTCCGGCTAAAAAGGCTTTGGGGTTTGGCCAAGGACACATGGACTGCTCTGATGGACAGGACCTTTCCCTCCATCAGCTTTCGCGTACGGGCGACTAGGGGAGGTGATTCCTTCTCTGACGACTTCCGAGAGAACATCTAGGTGTTTCATAAAGGCTCCATCTGGGAAATATGGAAAATTACTGCACTGGAAGGCACACAATCAAGTCTCTTCCATAAGCGCAAATCGCAAGGAAACAACCAGTTCAAACAAAAAAGAGACTTTGAATGCCTTTGACGATTAGGAAGGAAAATCCTAGAAAGTAATGGACATGGAGATCTGCTGTCACAAGACGAAAATGTTGACAGCAGTAGGCCTTTGAGGACAGGCCAGGGGAAAGCAAAATGGCCATGATACCAACTCAGTTGGTACACCCATGAATTGTCGACATACAGACCCAAGTTCGAATCCAGACGGTATAAGATGAACATAATAAAATAATTACGAATTACCTGCGCCAGTCATTTCAATGATGATATCTCGAGGCCGTCGGCCATGAAAAGTAAATAAATAAAAACCGCCATAATTAAAGAAAACCAGTTCTGGTTTCGAGAGTGGTGTGGGTCACATAACATAGCAGGAGATGTCCATGACCAACCTCAACAAGTGGACGGAAGCACAGGAGATTCAAGAAGAAAACCTTGTGTTTATTCTAAGAGGGAAGTAACTCGCTTAGTGATGCCAGATGGGGCTAGAGGTGGGATGCTGGCCAGTTGGAAGTGAGGGACAGGTCATGAACCCTTAGTACGTTACCTGGCAAAGGAAACAGGGTTAAAAGAGTTATGGTTGCGTATAACAAAAAATAAGGCGCTGTGCCCAGTTTCCAGCGGGCAGCGGGCTGACGTGAGAATTCGATTCTGGGACGCTGGACGCGTTGTATGGCAGGCACAGTTCCTCACCAATAGATTGTACCCCCTGTTTCTTACAGGTAATCGCATTCAAGCTAAGCTAAAGAAATCAAGACTTCCGGAACCCCTGGTTGTTACAAAAAGAGAAAAAAGAAATAGGAATAACCCTGAGGGGATAGGCAAGTGGTCTAACCCATAACCCTTAGTTTCCTTGGGATGTTACCAATACATAAGAGATGGCGGCCTAGAGGTTAGGTAGGTAGTGTTAAAAAAAAAGAAAGAAAGAAAAGATGAAGGTCATGCATCGCTTGGCCCAGCGGCCATCGGGAGTTAAAACACAGTTTGTTTACTTCCTTTTCCTCTTTTTTTTTTGTGTAAGAGTAATCTTTGGATCCATGCCCAGTTCAAATGAGAAATATTGAGAGTACTGGAGTCTGGAAGAGTGCTTTTAACTTCATCATCACCGGGCCACAGGCAGGTTTACAAGCTTTATACAAAAAAATGTTTCTTTCTCAGTTCATTTCTTATCATTATTGCCTTCATGTCAGGCTCTACGCTTGTTATGTCAGTGCTGTTAACGGTTTACGCCCTGGTCAAAGTTGCTCTTCTGCAAGCCCCTGGTGCTTATACGAGATTTGGCTCAAAGAAGGTTGTTTTGGGGGACGCACCGTTACATTACCACTGGCAATTGAGTCGATGGCAAGCTGAAGTTCCTTGCAACGACACCCAACACAACGTTGCCAGCAAAGCAGCACCAATTTGGTAGTCAAACAGCCAGCTGGCAGACAGGAAGTACAATCGGACAGATCGACACCCACACAGATGCCCTATCTGCCCACCTTATCAACAAATTGATCTACCAATCTACCCGCGCTTACTGCCGGCGCTTACTGACAACCTCCAAAGCCTAATGCATCCCCCAACACAACCCCGGGTCCAGGGTTGTTTCTAACCAACCCCTCCTTAGCTCCTAGACTCCTCGGTCCCCTTGATAAATAGAGGTGGGCTGTGACACCATTCCACGCCCCTGACCCATCCCAACTCAGGTCGACACTGAATTCAACCCCCCCTCACCAACTTCTTCACCTTCCCTGAGCGCCTCTTTCTCCTCTTCCTCGTCCACCTCCTTTTCCTCCATGTTCACTTCTTTTCTACTTTCCCCCCATTTTCTTTGTTCCACTCCACTACCTCTCCGTCACCATCATGGTATACTACACCCTAGAAGACCGCAAAACGAGCACCACATAAAACCGCTTCTCTCGCCACAAACGAGCACCACATAAAACCGCTTCTCTTACCACAAACGAGCACCACATAAAACCGCAAAGGCACATACTGAGGTACACGTACTTTTCTCACACCATCGCTGTGAGAAAAGACCATGGTAAACGAGGATAGACCATGGTGCCATGTACTTTCACGGAATCCACCAAAAGATGATTAAATCGTTGAATCACCCAGGCAATCCTTTTCAGCCTGAGAATGCAGCAAACACCCCAGATCAGTCGGCAGTGCCCTGCACAGACAACGAGGTGCAGAATAAAGCGGCATGGACTGACCAAGCATTATATAAACAGAGGTTAACAGCTTCACTTTTCAGCGAGACATGCAGAGTAGTCAAAATCACTTTTCAAGAAGACCTGCAGACTTGTCCAATAGGCCGTATCGAGTGGAAAGAACGGGTGTTGCTCACCGGGGCAGTCATTCTTTGCAGAAACTTTGGTAGTGGAGCACGGAGGGCACCTTGTAGCCGCCACCCAGTCTCCATCGCAGCAATCAACAAGACTGCTCCCATCACTGAGCGTTGTTTCTTCATTGGCACTCTAGCAATCGAAAGCAGGCCAGACAGGAACCGGATGGAGATGCTGAACGACTCCATTTCTGGCTTGGAACTGCTTGCTGATGAAGAAGCAATCTCTGACTCAGACCCTTCACGATGACTCCTGTTCTTGACAAATTTGGATCCAAGTTGGAAGCAAATGATCATCACCCTATCAGGTTCGCACCCAGAAACAAAAGAATAACAGCACCACATTTCACAACAAGAAGATGAACACAAAAGGGGAGGAATTTTCACCGCACAGGAAAAGGAAACGAAACGAACATATGTACGTGTAGGATCCTCAGAGACTATAGGTGGAACCGCTTCAGTCAAGAATGGCGTTGCATCAGTAACACTTGGCATACGCACCTTGAAACGAAAATAGAGTCCGTGACTCCATGCTATGTAGGGATACATAGAGTGCTACTAGTAGGCATGTATACTGAGCACCAACAGACTTTAGCGGGCTAGTGGTCCACATAAGACATAATTGCCTAAGGAGTAACCGGGCGCAAAGTGCAACTGTAATGCATAATAGTCAAGGCCTGCCTGCTGTGAGACCTACAAGTCGAACAGAGATCAAAGTCTACCGGAAGACAACATTTCCGTGCTGAAGCGGCTAATTGGTATTGGCATTTTGTTGATGTGGTTTCGTTATTTCTATTTGTACCAATTTATTGTCGGGGACCACAAAAGTGCAAAGAAGTGCAGTTGTGAACATAATGGTTTACGTCTTGGGTACAGACTTGCACAATGTGCTTTACACAACATGGGCACAATGTCAGCTCATAACTTGACCAGAACACAGTGCAATAGGCCCAGAGTCTAAACGAACATCTCATGCCAGTGAATCACAAACTCCAGCACACGAGTCATGGAAACCAAAACACATGGGAAATCGAAGTCTTATACGACAAGCTTATATACACCAGGGCTGAATGACTATGGCTTCCAGCAAGGAGCAACCACGGATGAACTTCCTACTCTTCACCCTCAGGCCTCTCTCTCTCTCTCTCTCTCTCTCTCTCTCTCTCTCTCTCTCTCTCTCTCTCTCTCTCTNCTCTCTCTCTCTCTCTCTCTCTCTCTCTCTCTCTCTCTCTCTCTCTCTCTCTCTCTCTCTCTCTCTCTCTCTCTCTCTCTCTCTCTCTCTCCTGAATAGCTTCTCTCTTCCTCGCCTGTGGTATACTAAAGCTAAGGCAGCCAGCACGTACCAACTGGAGGTACTCTCAGCCTCATGTTCTGTCTCCCTTGTCACTTCGGAAAACTACTGTGCAACGGCACTGCCACAACAAGCACAAATGGAATCAGTCTTGACTGCAGGTGCTAATGTGCTTATGTACGTGACGATTCAGCTTCCCATCCCTAACTTGTTGGCCTGGTGTCTAGGTTCTGCCGTCTTCTGTTGTTTTCAGGATGTTCAGTGACTTTCCTGAGACCCTCGGCTGCTGACTCACGTGAGACTGGACTGGAACCTTCAAACCTACCGAGTGCCTTAACTACTGGACTAACCTAGACTCGGCTTACTTTACCTACTGGACCCTAAACTAACAGCACTTTGATCGGGGACTGGATTTGATCAAGTACTGCACACACACACACACACACACACACACACACACACACATGCAAGAAAACAAAAGGAAAAAACTGGGCTCTCATCTGGGACCGGATTTGACGAAGTACCACACTCCTCTCTGGACCCTTGGCACTGTAGTGCGGACTAGCAGGTTCCTTGCAACACCTCGTTTCACGTCAGAAGGTCACAAAGGCAATGTGCATTAGCTCAACAAAAACATGCAAGTCTTGCAAGAAATAAAAAGTAAAACCAATTGCGCTACCCAACACTTTGCTGACATTACCCGTAAACCATTTCACTGCAAGACACACAACCTTTCAAGAATCCTTGTCTTTTCCAGAGACTTTCGCTTTCTCCAAAGTTTTTATCCTCTTCGTTTTCTGTCCTATTCTTACCTTGACTACAATCAACATGGAAATCGTGTCAGCTATCGGTTACTTTCATGTCATGTCAACATATCACAAAGGGAATGTGAATGAGCTCCACAAATAAGTGCAAACTTGCAACCTACAAAAACCCGCTAAATGCTTCGCCAACATTGCCCATAAACCGTTCTACTGCAAGGCACTCAAGTGACACAACCATTTAGGAATCGTTGTCTTCGTGGATTTACTTTTACCGACACACATGTCTTCATACTTTCAAGCCAAAATCAATTTTGCCGCTGCTGCAAAGCTCTCCAAACAAAACAATACAGGAACGCCATGAAGCAAAATATAATCTTCAGTTTCTGCTGAATCCTTACCTCGGAGAAGTCCAATGACCAGTGCCTCTGCTGCACACAGAACTGGTCCATGCCAATCCCCTCGCCTGCATTGCCAACAGACATTAGAGAAGGACCAGCAGGGGGAACCGGTCCCTTTTCTTTCACTTCTTAGGTGTCCCATTCTCATACCTTCCATGAACAAAACCGGTTTAAAAATCACCCAAGAAAAAAACGGGGCAGGGGGGCAAAAGAGCTTGAACAGTTTCTTGTCGCACTAGGTGCTCTCTCTCTCTCTCTCTCTCNTCTCTCTCTCTCTCTCTCTCTCTCTCTCTCTCTCTCTCTCTCACACACACACACACACACACGCACACACACACACACACACACACACACACACACACACACACATGCATACACATATCGAATGAGTCAACGCCCAAGGTTGTACCAGCAGAGGCACACCTGCAAAATCCACACTTCCAGAGCCACCACCACACAGCTCCAGTTCCAAAGGAATCTCCAAATCATTCTCATGCAATCTTTGCAAAGCAGGCTCTTCTGACGGGGCAAGTTTCTGTCAAGTACCTGAAAGTAGAAGCATGAGACCCAATGCATTTTCCCAAAGGAGGTCACACGTTTGGCTGAACCCAAGACACCGATTCTCTGCAAACTGGTAGGACATTTGCGTATGAGAAACTCCAGAATCCTATTTCTCCAACCATGCCAATGCCATCTCAGTCTGGATACATAGCCCCTCGTTTGGATTTACAATTTCGTAAGCGAGTAGATAAACTAAACACAAAACTTCACAAAATGTGACCAGGGGGTAGGCCAACTGCTTTCTGTTGGCAAATGCACATATAGACAGCCAGTTACTTAAAATAGCTCATCAATAACCCGTAAACACACATGCCTCCCTACCTTGACATGCTGATAGCAAAAGCATCATGCTTGCCTCCATCCATTCCATGGGCATCCAGAAGAATTTTCTGTGACAATAGAAGGGAACAAATGTCCACCTGTTCACAGACACGGAGGTACCCAAGCATTGCAGGTCAACATCACAGATTAGGAACCCCCCTGGCCAGTGGAGTGAAGCATCACGTAAGTCACAAGAGAAAGACAATTGGGCCTTTAAGATTGTTTTATCAGCTGTGCACAGTTTGAAATCAGCCTTCCACTGAATTTGACGTGTTTCCCACTGCTACCTCCTCTACCAGCCTTACACTGAATTTGATGTGCTTCCCACAGCTACCTCCTCTACCAGCCTTACACTGACTCAGTGCGAGGTACAACGCTAGAGCTTGATATGTCTCCCACTGCTACCTTCTACAATGTGATACATCCCCTCTTCCACAGTCACAGTGCTATTTTATGATATCAGTACACGATGCCATGCATTAGTAAAGGCTACAGAGTGCTACAAATTACGATCACATGCTCCTCGCCTCCCAGTTGCGCACAAGGCGGCTGCGAGGCAGGCTGATCTGTGGCTCCTTGTTTGACAATCTAGTTTCTCCCAGGTTGCATGGGTCACATAAGACAATAGTGACACCGCCCCTACAAGTCCAAGAGATTCCTTTCACAGAGCAGACAGGCCATTGGAGAAAGGGAAGAGGAACCATGGGCTCTCGCTTTTGGAAAAGGGGATCCACTGAAACAAAAGGGTGAAGAAGATTGACAACGCCAATATACAAGAGCACTATCCAAAAATGAAACGAAGCTGCAGTTATGCTGTCGAATGCTTGTGATTCAAGACGGATCAGCCTCTGCTCAGTGAACAATCCAAGATAGACCGATTCTCAAACTACCCATCGTCAAGTCATATAATTCCAAATATGCAGCAGTGCCGACTCTGCCTTTTCTTTTCTTCTTTTTTTTCCCCAAAACACATTCAATTCATTACTAAACAGAAATGAAATTGAAGCCGGGGAGTCAGCCAAATTAACAGGCCTAGCTATACATCCCACAATTCACCAAAAAGTCCAAAGGGCTATAACTTTACTGAGCTTGACCAACAGTGGTGTTGTATTGGCAACAACTTGTAAAACTTTGGGTGAACCACACACACACACACACACACACACACACACACACACACACACACAAACACACAAACACACACACACAAGCAGTAGAGAAGAGCAATGCTTGTGTGTATGAATAGATTCCCTCTGTATTCAATAAGGACTCACCTTGGACAAATGGCTGAGAAGAACACGCCCGAGTCTGTACAAGACACTGTGAAACAGAAAAAGAGAAACCTTATTAGATAGCAAGAATGGAAACAAGCTATAGACTACTTAGACAATGTGTGAACACAGACATGAGTTTTTCAAACGGCCACAATATTCGACAAATTTCGAAATGGACAGCACCTGGACACAAACTCATTATGCGTGCTGATAATAAGCCAGTAACCTGGGCAGTTGATCGTTGACGACAAAGAAAAGGCTCAATGGCACACGTTGCTGACATACATCACTAATCTTTGACCAACTTACAAGGTGCATGTTTCGGTTACAATAAGAGTTGACGAATCAATAAGTTATTGCATCCCCAGAACTCAAATGAGCAGCAGACATGTTCAGAGACGGTCAGGCACGGAATTTGCGTGAAAAGCACACACGCCCCTCCACTCCAACATTGACTACACAGACCCTGTGCCCCTGTGCACAGCTCCCGGCCAGCGAATCTGCAGGCCCTGGGCACAGCTTTCACTTGTCGGTAGGCACCACACAGACATACACCTAAACGTTAGAGATACTGTTTTCTATTCACCAACAACCACCGAGAAGGTGACAAAGTGCAACCTTAAGAAAGGATTTTGATGCCAAGTGGACTCGTCCCTTCTCTGAAAAATGCAAGACTGGAAGTCTCAAGCTTTCATGTTCACAAGATGGAGACTGACCTTACATCTAATGTGATTGTTTTCCGTCTCATATAGCCCACGACCCGTGGGTACAACTTATAAGAACGACAAAATTTTCCGAGTTCATCACCCAGTAAACGAAACTTGAAATTTCCCCCAACTACCAGTCAATGCGGGCACCCCATCACATCCACGCCCAAGCGGTCAAAAACCCTTTGTGAAGCCCATGTGTGCAGAGGTTCCCAAGCAGTCAAAAACAGTTTCTTTTTATTTTCCTCTGGGACATCTTTTTGAAACTGGAAAAATACAGAGAAGATAAGCATGGCCCCATGACAAGCACAAATCCAGACATGGTGCAAACATACATACCCCTCGTCTGTTGTCCTCTTCACCTCTCTGCCTACACTAACCAGGCAGTTCTCTATGACGATATATCTATACATCTATATCCACTATTATCCATATATATTAGTTAGATAGATATAATAACACAGTTGCTTTTCTTTTCTCTCCATCCTTTCATGCTCTCAAGACCTAAGCTTGAGATTGACTGCTCTATCGAAGCCCATGAAGGTGTTATGCTGCCCACCAGATTCCGGGCCATATTTGTGAAGCTGTCATAGTGTCAGCTTCAATGTATGCTTTGATGCCTCGTTGCCTCAATCTTGGAATCCGTCTGAGAACTTCACAATCAAATGCCGAGGCGGATGAGAAAATCGACTTCTTTTACTTTTGTGGAATAGAACCACCTCTTCCAAGGAGTGCTCCTTTCCCAGTTGATAGAATGCCTTGCTGAGAGATGCCTCCATGCAAAAGACAGCGCCTGCGTTCAAACTCGCTCTAAACATATGCTGCCACTGCCAACCATCACCCCACCGCCTTCCCCCGAACACAGCGCACCCTCTTCATGACTGCATGGAACCAGCTCTCGTGTCTACATTCATGATCACCAGTGCGTTGGGTTTGGGATAAGACAATAGCGAGAGGTAAGCAAACTGGGATGAACCTGGCCGGTGCCTCGCTGTAACGGAGCCAACACCGGCCAAGTCAGAGAATGATTTCTGTCTGTTGTCAAGTTGGGCAGGGGAAGGGCCAAGGGACGTTCAAGGGGATAGGGGACGTTCAAGGGGTCACCAGGAGGGAATTCTGTCTGTTGTCAAGTTGGGCGGAGGAAGGGGCAGGCGACGTTCAAGGGGATAGGGGACGTTCAAGGGGTCACCAGGAGGGAATAAGAAAACCATAGATTAATAGCTGTCATCGTTGAGCTGTAACAACAATATCGAGTAATGACAAATGAAAACAGTCAATGTCACGATGATACACCACACGACTTGAATTCCGTCACGCAATTTACTGTGTAACTGGCAACCCAAAGAAGCACCATTCGGCGACCCCAAAGCATGCCATTCATTGCTCGAAATGACAACTGAACGAGATGAAACTGCACACTCATCGCAACGAGCAACACAACACCACAAGGGGAGACATTCAATGCATGAGAAGACTCGCTACGAGGAAACATTGCAACGGGCATTAAAGTCTAGAAAACCACATGCATTATAGACCTGTATATTGTTGTTGGATGGGTGGGCGGCCAAAAAGAGGAGGACTCATTCCAGCAGTTGGCACGTTATGGTTGCATATCACAGAGTTATAATTACCCGTGAGCTGAGCTCTGCTCTTCTTGATGCTTACGTAGGAGAAACGCCTGCAGCTGCTGATGTTGGCATGCCTCCACAGAAGCTAACCTGTCTTGAAGTTGACTTACGTGTGCAACCACACCCATATACGCTGCCACACCACTTCTTACTTCCCCAAGAGAAGACTCGAGTGGTTGTAGCCGCTGTTCAGTCAATGCAGGCGATGGAAACCTCAGTAAGAACAAACATATCAGTAATTTAATGGCAACCCTACAGTGAAGCCCGTACATACATTTTAAGGAAAGAGAACGAGATCTAGATATCTGAAAACTACCGACGTCACCCAGAATTCTTGGAGCACGGACGAAAAATGAAGTATTTATTAATAAATAATAAAGAAACCTTAATCATAGACGCGATGACGATGTGGTCAAGTAAATCATCTCCCAGTCTAACACCACCGTTCACTTTTCGCTTATCTGAAATACTTCACAGCGATTTCATCAAACCGAGCCTCCCATTCAGACGGAGCCATGACGCAAATTCGCAGCAACCAAAACAAAAAAGGGAAAAAGGAACGAAACAATGGGATGTAAACCCGTCAACGACCTCATACTTCCCCAGAGAGAGAGAGAGAGAGAGAGAGAGAGAGAGAGAGAGAGAGAGAGAGAGAGAGAGAGAGAGAGAGAGAGAGAGAGAGAACGGTCACTGCAAAAAAAAACCATAACCATGATTTTGAGGTTGAAATCCAATCCGACAACGCACATAACCAGCAACCAAAACCAAAAAGGGAAGAGGAACGAAGCAATGGATGTGAGCCCGTGAACGACCTGATACTCCCCACAGAGAAACAGACAGAGAACTCTCTCACTGCAACAAAACCAACCATCCCTGAGAAGTCGTTCCAATCCCAAGTCCGGAATGAGATAACCCTGCAGAGATAAATAGTATTCTTCCCTTCGTGACTTGCAGCACAGTAAAACCCGCAAGTTCCTAAATTCATGCCACCCTCCATGAAGCCAAGGCCCAAATCCGGGATGAGAAATGTTACAGAGCCACAGTAATTTCTTGTTCCTTTCGCCTCCTTTTGGTCACTTAAACAGCGACGTCAACGATTTTTTTTGTCCCCGGCCCCTGAGAGAGTTCGGTGAGGCAAAAATCATTTTTTTTTTCCGCAATCACTAAAGCGAATCCCCAAATCCAGGATGAGACATGTTACAGAGGCACAGTAACCATTCCTTTCGGTGACTTAACCACTTCCGTAAATTCACTAATCACTTCACTTTACTCCACAGACATCGCAAACCCGTTCATCTTGCCTGCTTTCTTCTAGACACGTCGACCTTCCAACAAACAACAGGGAAGATCCGGCAAAGGCAAATAAACTGACTCTGTTCGCTTCGTCATTGCATAGAGTGAATGACCTCCAGATGGAAAAGATGCCCACAGGCCAGCACAAGAGAGGAGAAGAGGCCGGCAAATGCCCATCCTGAGGTCATTGCATCGAGTGCATAACCTCCGGACGGAAAAAAAATGCCTACTGGACCGCAAAAGAGAGGAGAAGAGCCCGATGAATGGCCACACTCGAAAGGTACAACAAAAGTGCTGGCCTCAGGATGGGCATTTGCCGGCCTCTTCTCCTCTAGATCACCCACAGGTCCCCACTAGTACGTGAACTATACAACAGCATAGACTCAGAACGAAAGCCTGTTACAAAAGCAGGAGAAAGGGGCGGTTTGGAAGGGGTGCGGAGAGGGAAGACGAAGAAACACAATGCCAGGATGATGGTAACAGACGGAATTCACAGCGAGTGGGTAGGACCGCTCGGCGCCTGAGGGATCGCCTGAACTTTGTGTTGCTTTCGCACATGCCTGGCGCCAGGTACACCACAGCCAGAACAGAATAGCATGCAATCAAACTTTGGAGATTATGGACGACAAGAACAGACAAGCGGCTAGCAGAACCAAAAACAAACAAACAAACTGAAAAAAAGGTAGCCAGAGTCAACCCTTACATACCACGGAGCAGGGTCGGGAACGAGCTGACTATAAAGAGGAAGAGCTCGAGAGGGGAGCACATGAAGGAAACAAACAACGAACTCAGCTTACCCCTTCGATGTTCTGAATCCTGTCCGATATGCCTGAGACTGACGAGCGCAACCCACTTCCTGCATTCTCCAGCTGCCGAATCCGGCAACCATCCTGCTGGCTTGCGCTGCAAAACAGAACAGTCAGCAGGCAATTCGACGTAAAGTGAGCACGGTCTAAAAATAGACTACTGCGGCCTATGGAACTCACCTGCAAAGGCATTTCCCACGAAAGCACACGCTAACGAGCGCGTTCTTCTTCAAACTCGGACAGTAACAAACGGAGAAAGTAGGAGAAGAGGGCGGCAAGTGAAGGACAACCAGGGTGAACAGATCCGTTTCTCTACTCACGCCCACGAAAATCCACAGACGACTTACTTCCTGACAGTGTCCCAGCGGACAATCCGTTTCTCTACTCACGGCACCACCTTCTACGTGTGTTACTTTCCATCTGCAGGTCAATACCACAAAAGCGGAGACAGCTAAGCGAGCCAATTGCCAGGAATGGCAACGAAACACCTGTAGAAGAGAGGCGCACAGTAAATGAACGTCAGACAAACGTAATGATACTCTCCATGGGGTGACCAGTCCTCCGTGCTCCGCGCCCACTGGACCATGTTTTTGTGCACAAATTGAGAAGGCCAGCTCTTGTCTTCCATTGACACTCCAAGTCAGACGAAATGGACCCCGCAACAGTCTTCGTCAGAAAACAACGCATAACTATCCTTGACGTAGGTACCCTGAGAATCGCCCTTGATATGGACAAACCCATGCACTTTTAAGCCCAAGCGTTGTAATCGAGGGAAGCCAGCTGCCTGCAAGCTTACAAGTCTTAAGACTGTGCGCTCTATTAGAGTCAAAGAAGCCAGCCAATGCCTACACTTCTGATAAACCTAAGCTGTGCACTGAATCGCTAAGGACTTCCGCTATACCCTCGCAGGTCAGTCCGTGCGAGAGCTGACGGGCAACCCAAGCCTACTGGCGTGGCTATACCTTTGCAGGCCAGTCCATGTGACTGTCCCCTTCGACCTTACCGCGCAGGATGACCTGTTGCGTTTGGGGTATCATCGCGCATTCCTTCCTGACCAGCCGATGCTTCCATGAACAGAAAATAAACGATCAATGCCGGAGACCCTGCGGAGGTTAACTCTGGCCTCCACTGTACACGACAACCAAAAACACAAGCAGAGACGTCCGATCCTCCAATGGCCGAAGAGGAGCAGGGGAAAAATGTAGACAACGTACATACCAGTAAAAACAGAGGATGGATGCATAATGAACAGAGTTCAATAAGGTGCAGCAGCGACTCACGTCGCTAAGTTCGATACGCTGGCGTGGAGCACGCTGATCTGGTCCCTCTGCGGCAGACACGTGTGCAAGGCTCTCTCCAGCGCTGTTCTTTCACCGAGAAGATAAGATGACACGTGGACATTCGGAGGTAGGTGCGCTTCACCTGGCGTCCTGAAGGCCACCTCCGTGCCGTCCTGATCTGCGCGCTCGATCCTTTCCCCTGCCATATCCCGTTCTTCCCCATCAGGATAGCTCTCTCCTCTGCTATCGAAGGAGCGCCCCCCGCGAACCAGCCCTCTGACCGGCAGCGCACTCACGTCGCCGTTCCGCGTCGTGACAGGAGGGGATCCAGCAGCGGACAACTCTCGATGACCGTTGGACAAGCATCTTGACAGTCGATCCGCGCTATCAATAGTTCGGAGGTCATCCGCGTTTCCAAAATTAGACTCGCCTGGGGAAGGCGCTGGCAGACCTGCCGTCATCGTCTCTCCAAACCCACTGCTGCATGGACAGACATCCTGCTCACACTGGCCCCATGTGGCGGGACCAGAAAACTCCGCGTGACCGTCGCACGGACTGGTGCAATCTGAGCTCTCGAAGTCTTTGTCGAAGTCCAGACCTTTGAAGATGGAATCTTCACGGCAAAGCGGCGGAGGGGTTGGGCAACGGGGGCTGTAACACGCGCCCACACGTCCTCCAATCGACGACCCGACCATCTTTCGGTCGAGAGAGGAGCAGTTCTTGTTCTCAATCTTCTCATTAAGGACACCACGCGGCGTGGTCTGCTGAGCTTCGCCCCTTATCACAGCAGATCGACATGCCATCCCCTCATGTCGCCCCTTCGCTTCTCTTCTACGGCTTCCATAGCTTTTGCCTTCTCTACCTTCACTGCGAGTTTGGGGTAGACGGGACGCGGGGACTGCGACCGCCGAGCGCGCATCATCATCTGGCAAATAGACGGCATCATCGGGACCGCACACATTGTCAAATGGAAGCAGACAAGCGAAAGAGGCGGCTATGGCGGCTCGACGCAGTTTCGACGACTCCCGGTGAGTATGCTGACTACTACCCCTGCCAAGCGGCTGGTGCAAAACTGTTGCTTCTGCCGCCACTGAAGTTGCAACGTCATGTCCATCGTGCGCCTCACAGTATTCGTCACACTCACCACCGCTCTCGTCATCGTCGCCGATATAGACATGATCACCGAGGCTGGCCTTACCATCAGAGCCGCCACTAACACTAGCGCGCACACCAACGGCACGGTACCTTCCGGGGGGGGGAGGATGGGGAGGGTGGGAGCGGGCGTCTCGCCGAAAGTAGGCATTCTCCGCTCCCGCTGCTGCAGATGAGAAACAGTTGTACTCCGCATCCCCATCGCTAGCAACGGCACGCAACGGACGCGAGTGGCAAGAAGCCCCAGTCTCCTCCTGCCCTCTCCCGTCCTCCGTCCCGCAATCCGTTGCACATGCCGCATCGGTCGTCACGCTGGAATGAATGAGAGGTGATGAGGAGGACAATCTCGATCCTAACTTGACCGATGGAGTGTCGTCGACATCGAGGTTGGCAAACAACCGCCTACGCGCCGATGAGCCCGTCAAAGTTGAGGAAGAGGGAGGATTAGCCGTAGCCGCAGGGTCACCGTCGAGCCCATGCCGAGACAATCTCCGCCGTCGTCCTTCCCCTTCGGACATCGTTCTCTCCACGCTACCCACGACCGCGTTCTCATCCGCATAACCATCACCAACATCATCTTTATTGGCATCACCACACGCCCCTGGCACCTCTCCCGCGCGTTCCCTTCCCATCTCGTTAGTCCCATTGCCAATCTCTCGCCGAGCTAGCCGCGCCATCTGCGAGCCACCGTAGCCCGATTTCCTGTCGTCACTGCGGTCCACGTCCATCCTTGCCCTGGACGATCGCATGATTCCGTCCTCTCCCGATTGTCCCGGAGGCGCACGCGGCGGCCTGAGCTCCGTGGTGGGAAATGAGAACACTCGCGGCAGTAAATTGCCGTCGGCAACCTCAGCGACAGGAGCGTTCCGCCCACTACCTACTGCGAAGCCATGCCGATCGTGATCGATGACATGTCCATTCACGTGACGTCCTCCCTGGCGTGACATTGACGTCAGCACTATCCCGTCCGATAGAACTTCGCGCTCCTGGAGGAATACCCGATGATCTCCCCCGACATGCCCCCCCAGATCCGAGCTGAAAACTTCCGCCTGGTCCCTACCACGACCCCTCGTATCGAGGACTGCACAGTTGCCACTACCATCCGCCAATCTCCGCTGCATTTCGCTCTGCAAGTCTGACGGCCCCGACCTGATCATCGCCACGCCATCAAACTGCATCTCTGACCCAGTCCAGCTGTCGGCACCGCAGCCATTGGCGCCCAGACCATGGCCTGGGCGTTCGCCCCCGCTATGCTGCTGTTGCGCAAGTGTCCCAGCGAGATGCGACACGGATGAACTTGGCGAGTCATTAAGCAGTGGATATACGGGCGGAGAGCGGGGGAAACATGAAGAGGTTTTGTTGGCCATCATCCTCGACGTCTGGTCGATCTGACTATGTCCGTCCAGCCCACTAGCTTGGATCTCACCGACACCGCCCGATGCCAGACCGTCACGACTACTGCGCTCATTCAGCGGTCGAGATGGCGAGGCCGCCACTGGCCCAGTTTCTCCATCTAAATCTGATCGATCGTCCCACACCACTGGCTGTGTCTCCCCGTCGTCATCTCTGATAAACCCTTCTTTACGTCGACACTTCTCTTCTACGGTTACGGGACCACTTCGACGCGAACCCGCCCCCCGTTCCCCGTCGACTCTAATCTTCGGGACGATATCATCATCAGGCGTAACTTCTGCACTAACGCTATCACGTCCATCAGCCGACTCGAGGCATTCTCGCTCGCTGAGCGTGCCCATTACTTCCCCCATGGTGTCAAATGCCCTCTCGGAAGAATTTAAAGCTACCTCTACGTTGCTAACTTCCTCACCCTCGCAGTTGCCATGCCTGTCGTTTCCGTTAGACACAAACCCCACCGCGGATTTGTCCGCAGCGACCCGCACGCAACGGTCACCCGACTCGGTTGACTTGCCCTCCCCAACTGCCATTGCATTCACCGTCGCGCGCGTCCCATTAAGTCCTGAATGACGGCGTTTCCCATGACTCATCCCCCTACTGCTAAACGAACAAGCGGCATTCTTACTCACATCTCGCTCGTCTCACCCCCCTACAGCCGACCACTCCCTCCCTTTTCTCCAACCCTCCTCTCTCTTTCACCCACGTTTCACCTCGGCCTGACTGCTTTGTTGCCTCCGCCTGCTTGCCAAGCTGAGCGGCCCCAGCCCCTATTCCGGAGAATGTCATAAAAAAACTTGCAATGATCCCAGCGCAGAGAATCCTACAAAACGACGACATATTGTGGCGGGACCGTCGGGGGCGGGAACTCGTCGCCGATCGGTGGGAATGCCAAGTTCCTGCAATTGTGCGCCCAAACGCGCATTGCGACGGCCGCGTGGAATTCGGCACCGCGCCCAAAAGGCGCGGAGCAGACTTGACTCCCGATTGATTCCCCGATCTCAGAGCCTGGGACAATTCGACCCTCATCTCCTGTGAACAGCGCAGCAAGGAGCCACGTCGGCCACTACTCAATTTTCCGAAATTTTCTGTCGGTTGCGACAGTTTACCATCCATAAACCTGCCATCGTCCTGGTGGCTGCCCGCCAAAAGTTGGGGCCCACCTCCCTCCGCTTCCCCGCCAGAACCTGGACATCATTCCAAATTGCTTGTTTCTCAACGGACATCGCTTCCACAGTCCAACAGTCCGTCTTCTGTCCCCATGCTTCTAGGCCACGAATTTGCAATTCAATCAATTGACAGGACGATTTCGTGGATAAGCGCGGAATTGTTTCGTGTATTCGCGGTGCCACTCAACGGTTGCAAAATGGAGAACTTGCAAAATTACCTGTGCATACTTGCACTCAGGCATTCCAGGATGTATCTGACCTCAGCTACACCCTGAGGGCATACTCACACGGCGACCCCAAATCCGCAAAATATACGGATTTGGGAAGGGCCGATTTGAGGTTTTGGGCATGGTTCAGGTCACACTGCTCTACCTTTTCAGATGGGACAAGGTGGTGGCCGTCTGGAGAAATGGGAATTTGGTGTAAATGGGCCTACACCTTTCTCGGCCTTTTTTTTGGGAGTGGGGCGGTTGACAGCCTTGAGATATCATCGTGAAGACATGAATGACAGTACCTCGAAAATTCAATTGTCTACCCCGTGGGCGTGGAGAACGCAGCCCTAAGGTAGCCAAATCAATGAGACTAAGGGCCTTGCTGGACGGTGCAAAAAACAAAACGAAACGACCATGAAATTCGCGAGGCCTCGCGAGGCCGAAAATCACCGTTTCGTTTCGTTTGTTATTGTCTACCGCGTGGGCGCGGCGAACGCAGCCCTAAGGTAGCCAATCAATGAGACTAAGAGCTAACACAAGAGAGAGAGAGAGAGAGAGAGAGAGAGAGAGAGAGAGAGNACCCGGAGATGGGTCCGCAAATAACCGGGAGATGGGTCCACAAATAACCCGGAGATGGGTCCGCAAATAACCGGGAGATGGGTCCACAAATAACCGGGAGATGGGTCCAACCAACGCCCAGGTCATGCGCAATCGTGCCGTCCGGCACATTCGCAATCCCTGAAGGTTTATCATTTTCCGGGTGCGCGGCCGCAGCATCGAGGGGTAAAATTGTCTACAGCGTGGGCGCGGGGAACGCAGCCCTAAGGTAGCCAATCAATGAGACTAAGAGCTAACACAAGAGAGAGAGAGAGAGAGAGAGAGAGAGAGAGAGAGAGAGAGAGAGAGAGAGAGAGAGAGAGAGAGAAAAAAAGAGATTGAATGGCAAAATTGAAATATGGGTCAAATTGCAGCCACGATCTATTTTGCAGTTGGAATGATTTTTTTTAATTTATTTACCGTTTTTCCTGGAAAGATCACAACAAAATCTACGAGTACTCCAATTTTCAGGTTTTTTCACGCATTCTTCTGAGCGTGAAAGCTCACTGAATTTGGAGTACTTTTTTAGTTGGCCCATGCATGGCTGAGTAGCAAAAATGGAAAATGTGTCATATCGGCGCGATAATTATTTCGCAGTGTAAATGATTTTTTGTAAATGTTCTATTATTATTTTTGGAAAGAACACGACCTCATCTATGGATTTTCAAATTTTCAGAATTTTGTGCATGATCGTCCGAGAACAAAAAATCGGCAAAGTTGCCTCTTGCAAAACGCCTATTTCGTTGTGCCTGAACTCCCTGTTTTGAGAAGACGGGGCTCAATGCCTGGGCCTGAGGGCCCTTTTGCAGTTCACATGCCATCACTTCTTTTTAGGGTCCACTTCTACCCGGGGACCGGTCCAACGCCCCCCACTTCTTTTTGGGGTCCACTTCCACCCGAGGACCGGTCCTTCCGTTTTCCAAAAGTCTCGGTTCTACCCGAGTTAGCTGTAGGTAGTCCGCAATTTCGTCAAGGACTAGTCCTCCAATTTTTTTCCCCCCTAACAACCCACTTTGCGTCTTGGTCGCCCGCCGCCGAAAATGCGACACCTTGACACAGACGCGGAACCCCACTAGACCGCAGCCTTAGGGCTGCGAAGACAAGAGAGAGAGAGAGAGAGAGAGAGAGAGAGAGAGAGAGAGGGGGGGCGGGGACTACTCTAGAGAGAAAGAGAGAGAAAGAGAGAGAGAGAAAAAAAAAAAATGGCAAAATTAAATATGGGTCAAATTGCGGCCGCGATCTATTTTGCAGTTGGAATGATTTTTTAAAATTTATTAGCCCAAGCATGGCTGAGTGGCAAAAATGGATCCTTTAGTGTGAGTTTGTTATTTTCTTTTTTATCTCCGATTCCGTGAGGAATTTTGATGTGACCCACAACCAAAAGTTGTTTGTATTACAATTTTATACAACATATGTTTGGGGGGGAATTTTATTTATTTATTTATTTATTTTAAGGGGGGGGGGGGGGCTGCCCGGAACCCTGCCCGAGGGTCATGCCCGGTCGGGCATCCGGGTGTGGATCCGGGCACAAGTTGGGTACTCGAAAAAACAACCTAGCGCGACGATTATTTTTCGGTCTAAATGATTTTTTAAAACTGTTCTGATATTTTTTATGGAAAGAACACGACCTAATCTATGGATTCTCAAAATTTCAGATTTTTTTTGCAGATTCCTTCGAGCAAAAAGAATCGTCTAAGTTACCTCTTGCAAAACGCCTGTTTCTTTGCGCCTGACCTCTCTGTTTTGAGAAGACGGGCCTCAACGCAGGACCCTGTTGCAGTTCACATGCCCTCACTTATTTTTTGGGTCCGCTTCCACCTGAAGACCGGTCCTTCTTTTTTTCAAAAGTCGCGGTTCTAAAAGAGTTAGGGGTTGCCCGGAACCCTGCCCGAGGGTTATGCCCGGCCGGTCATCCGGGTGTGGATCCGGGCATAAGTTGGGTACTCGAAAAAACAACCTAGCGCGACGATTATTTTGCGGTCTAAATGATTTTTTATAGTGTTTTTTTTTGTTTGTGTCAAGGTGTCGCATGTTTGGTGGTAGGCGACCACGATGCAAGTGGGTTCTGAGGGGGGGAAATAAATTCGGGAACCGATCCTTCAAGATATTGCGGACTACTTACAACTAACTCTTTTAGAACCGCGACTTTTGAAAAAAAGAAGGACCGGTCTTCAGGTGGAAGCGGACCCAAAAAATAAGTGAGGGCATGTGAACTGCAACAGGGTCCTGCGTTGAGGCCCGTCTTCTCAAAACAGAGAGGTCAGGCGCAAAGAACAGGCGTTTTGCAAGAGGTAACTTTGACGATTCTTTTTGCTCGAAGGAATCCGCAAAAAAAATCTGAAATTTTGAGAATCCATAGATTAGGTCGTGTTCTTCAGGCTACGAATATAATAATAATATTTGAAAAAACTGAGAAAAAAAAATTCACACCTCATTAACAATCAGTCAAATGGAAAAACTGCGGATTTCCGCTTTACTAAATGTATACTTGCACCCCAGACCCGTTCATCCCGAAATTCACGTTGTCGAGATTCTATAGTGTATAGTTTCATGTTCTGGCGGTAGATTCGTTCGATTTTGCTTTCCCTGTAGATAGTTGTCCCAGCCCATTCGTCGAAACGGACGTGCACTTTTGAAAAATCACGAATAAGAGACAAAAAAATTTATAAAAGAAAATAAATAATCTACAAAGAAATCTGAATAAAGAAAATCTATAGCAAATTTAGAAACTCACGGAAATCTAAGAAGTAAAAAAAAAAAAAAAAAAAAAAAAAAAAACTTACCTTGAAAACGGTCGCTTGTTCAGAACGGGCACCGTAAGGTGCATTGGTGACTTCAGTGCCCCAGTCACTTCTAATAGCGCCATGTGGAGCTCCACTTTCAATTTAGTTTCAGCCACGCTTTCAAAGATACAGGCTTGAGTTCGAATCCTAACAGATTAAAAAAAAAAAAAATTGCCTCTTGTCTTTTTTTTTTTTTTTATGCGTGTCATCCATGCGGAGGAGCCACGAGCACGGCTGACCTTGACCGCTCGATCCAAAAGATGTCGTGGTCGAAATAGACCGCGCCATTGAGATCACGACCGGGCTGTTCCTCACAAAAGAAGCTAGTCAGTTTTTAGGTACTTTAGGTTCGATATCTGCATCTGCAACATATAAACCTCATACCTTACCTATTGGGCTAGCTCCTATTACGAGAATAGCGGGAGCAACTCCTCTATATGAGGAGGTTTGCCCTAGTCACCTCATTTGCCTGTGGCCAAGCAGGCCTCACCTGCTTGTGGCCTAACATGCCCTGCTTGTTGGCCCATGTCCCGCTAGTTGTCGTGTGACCACGACTTGATTGGTCACCCAATCGGGTAGGCCTCGGCATCGCCCTGTTGGCCCCTTGGCTCGAAGTCAAACCCCGGGGGCCCAGAAAGTAAATAAATAGAAAAAATTCTTATTCCTCCTGCGTCGCAGTCCCACATCCGACATGGTGGTTTCTTTTAAGCCTACCTTGACCCTGAATCGTGTGGCTGCGCAACCGCAAGTCATTATTTTAGGTAAAATATGTATAACTTCAACGTTGTCGAGCGCATCGGTCCAACGCAGGGCGGGACCGTCCCGGCCCCGTCACGCAGGAGTTGGTCTACTCGCAATACACAAGGAGTTTTCCCAATCCGCTCCGACCGAGTGCCCCAGCCATACCTCTCGCGGGCCCTTACGACAGGATAGGGCCAACGTGAGGTAAAACTTACCTTCATTTGCGTGAGTTGT